GCTAATCAAATCAAATCCACTTAGCGAATAAAGCCAAGATATTAATAGTGAGCGAATTGTTTGTTTGTTTGATCGAATTGAGCAGAGTGTTGCTATTGTTGAACGCTGAGAATAGCACGTTGACAAGTGTCACACAAACAGCAACCGATGTTTTGGTTATGTGCATACTTACGACGATTTTGGCATTTTTCTCTCGCTCAATTTCCTAATGTGATGATGGTATGATGCTAATGAATAAAAATAACACGGATTTCTTTATTTTTTCTTTTGAAATTCAAATTCTTATGGCTTTATTGACCAAAGCTTACGTCTGAATGTGATAAAACATTTAAATATGATGAAATCGACTAAAATTGGATGCGTAATTGTCACAATTTGCGTGTTTGTGCGTAAAATCAATTGGAATGAATGTGGCACGATTTTTGTGTGAATATTACAAACGATTTTGCGATGAAATAAATAAAAAATGGATTTTAATCTTAAAAAATGGCGTGTGAATGGTTCAGTTTGTGGCTTGACGATTGTCATTTTCATTGAAGCTTCCGCTGGCTTTGATCGGCGTCGTCTTAATCGGTGTGGATTTCTTTGGTGTGGCTCGTTTTGTGGTTTTGATGACGATGGTGTCCGGGTCATCACTTTCGGTCGCCGATACAATCTTTGTCGATGATGCCGATGTGGCTGTTGATGTGGTCGTCAACGTGATTTTTCGCTGTTTGCGTTTTGTTGGTGCGGCTATGATTTTAACGGCGGTTCGTTTGATGGCCCGGCTTTTTGTTCGGCTCGATCGCAGGCAACGTGCCGGCGGACTTTCGATCAATGAATAACTTTGGTCGGACGAATCCGAATCCGATTCGGATTCGCTGTCATCTTGGGCGGCAAAATTCAACAATTTCTTGTGCACTTCCAATCCACGATCCGTCGAATAGGTCATTTGGCCAAATGTCGATGTCGATTGTTCGGGCGCTGCATCTTCATTTTCACGTACTTGCTCGTGGTATGTCGTCAAAATTCGGCCCATTCGTTTTGCCACCGTTGCTACGCTGATTTCTTTCTTCATTTTTTTTTGGCGTTTTTTGTTTTTTTTCCTCTCGATTTTTGGCTTTGCGTTGTAAACGTTTTGTTTCGTCTTTTCGATGAACAACTTTTTTTGTCTTGTGTTCAGATAATTTTTTTCTTCGACTTACTTCAGTGACGTTTCGTTGCTTGTGAATCGCTCGGTAGACTGTGTCAAAATGGCGTTGAGTAGAAAAAGTGTTTTCTGCATCGGTCGCTTGTTTGTGATAGAATTTCCCGTTAACACCGCAGCATCTTTTCAACAAACAACAATCAAATGGTTGTCGTTTTTGCATATGTTCTAATGAGTGCGTTCAAGGAACCAAATTATCAGCTGAATTTGCATAGCATTGGCGTTCAATGATGTGTTCCAGAATACAACACACATTTCTTTTTCATAACATTTCCAATTCGATTCGGAAAAAGTTTTTTTTTATCTTTATTTTGAAAATGAATGGATCAAGTAGATTTTTTCACATCACGAAATATTGAAATAGGATTTCAACTGTTTACTCCAGTCCTTCGCAAAAAGACTGTTGTAAATCGTTCTAGAAGTATCCAAATATTGTTTTTCTCGCTCAAATATCGGATGAAATAGCATTGTCATAGTGTTGTTGAACACAATCACTTCTCTTCAAAATCGTCGCAGCAAAAGTGAATCATTCAAAGAAATGTACAGAAATTAACATGAAGGTACGATGTGAAAAAAGGATTTTTTTGAAAATCACGATCGATAAAACATCCTTTGATTGATATTAAACAGTTTAATAATGCAGTCTTGCTCAAAATTCGTAGATGAGCTTAGATGAGCATGCTAGAGATTATCAGCAAACAATATCGAATCGGCCATTTCAAATAAATAATATTTGGTTTTTCGTCACAGACAGTTAACAAAATGAACCAAGCTACATCGAATCCAATCGCGCAAGACTTGCGTCTATTTGAAGATTTTTTTGTCAACTTGGTGGAAAACGAGAAGTTAATTACAATTTAGTTTGTGCAAATCGATTTGGACTTGAAAAGACTGGCTCATATGTTTTTTTATCGACTATGTCAATGAAGAGTCAATTTTTTCAATTTGGGAAATAGCTTTGCTGATGTGACTTGAACTCTATTATTCAAGTCCAGTTCCTCAAGAACTTCGAATAGTAAATTTAAGGGGTCTGAAAAGTGAATCCGGTATCGAATGCAGAAAAAAAATTCAGAAAGAAAAAATACAGAAAAAAAATTTGCAGAAAAGAAAAAAATGCAGAAAAACAAAAACGCAGAAAAATTAAAAAAATACGATTTTTTCGAAAATTTGTTGACCACAATAGATTTCACAGTCCGACGCGTTTTTCTTTAATCTGGCGCACACGTGTGCAAGGGGGGGGTATTCCGGTTTTACCCCCCTCTAGGATCCAAAATGTGGACCCCCAGCGATTTGGAAAATTTAACACTAGATAGAATCGATTTTCAAAAGTGAGGACCTTTTTTTACTTTTCCGCACACGAAGTGTGTGAGAAAAGTATAGCGATCGACGTGATAAAAAGTGTGCTAATTTTTGTTGTGTCCACGATAACTTTCGAACCGCTCAAGCGATTTCGCTCCAATTTGGCCAGGAGTCACAATTAGTTAATATCTTGGATGTATCAAAAGTTGGGCCAAATTGGACCAGTTCATCTGGTACTTTTGGGACATCATGGAAAATCACCCAAGGGTCCCCCCTTGGATTATGTCGAAAAAAATGTCTTTTTTCATCAACCTAGAGTGGATTGTTGTATCGTTCTCACATAGTTTTATAATATTAGGCAGTGTTAAATGGTTTATAACACGATGGCCGACCATGATGGCCCAAAAACTACGATTTTTGGTTGTGTCCACGATAACTTTCGAACCGCTTAAACGATTTCGCTCAAATTTGGCCGGGAGTCACTATTAGTAAATACCTTGCATGTATCAAAAGTTGGGCCAAATTGGACTAGTTCATCTGGTAATTTTCGGATGTCATAGAATTTCACCCCCCTTGGGGGGACCCTTGGATTTTTTTGAAAAAATTTTTTTGACGGATTTTTGATTTGTTTTAACTCGATTTTATCATGTTAATCCGTGTTAAATGATTTATAACACGATGGCCGACCATGATTGACTTTTTTCATTTTAAAGCTAAGTACACAGTTCCTCGTGAAATGAAAAAATTTCTCCGGTGAAATTTTTACAGGTGATATTTGTATGGTGGTTTGTATTTTCGAATTGCAAGCATAATGATTTTGATGTATGAAGCAGTTAACTCCCTCCAATATCAACACAACACATGAACAAATTTGAATTTTGAATTCATACTTGAATTTATTTTGATCTTTCTTATTTTTTCACGGCCGTGAAAAAAATTTGTTCAGACAAAACACATAGAAGAATGAACTCAAAAACCAAATTTGTTCATGTGTCGTGTTGATATTGGGATGAGTTAGCTGATTTATACATCAAAAATCATTATGCTTGCAATTCGAAAATAAAAAACACCATAAAATTATCACCTGTGAAAATTTCACCGGAGAAATTTTTTCATTTCACGAGGAACTGTGTACTTAGCTTAAAATGCATTTTCTGGTTTTTTATATCATTTTCTTATCGTTAGCCGTGTTAAATGATTGGTCAACCATGATGGTCTTCTTTTTAATTTTTATTTTCAACTTTTTTTCATTTAAAAATATACTTTATGGGTCATTTTACATGATTACTTTGGCTCTCTCTCGGTCAGCTGTCATTAAATATGATGGTGTTATAATATGCTGGCCATTATCTTTTATCTCATTTTTTTCATTCAAATGTATTTTATTGACCTGTAAGCATATAAAACGTGCGGAAAAGTCCGTTTTACGCTCGTAAAACTTTTTATTGATTTGTTTCAACACGATTTTATCGTGTTAATCCGTTTTAAATGATTTATAACACGATGGCCGACCATGATTGACTTTTTTTCTTTTTTTTTTGAATTTTTTTTTTAAACTTTTTATTTTTTTTTACTGTTTTTACACGATTTTCCCATGGTAAGTGATGTTAAATGGTGTTATAACACGATGGTCGACCACGATGGACTTCATACCATTTTTACATAGTATAGTCAATATAGGTATCATATGAAAGGTCTTTGAACGGAGATGAACATGAACACCATCCCGGTCCATCGCGGTCATGTTAACACCACTTAACAGCATTTTTTATATAAATAGTTGACATATGTCATATGGGTGTCATATGAAAGGTTTTAAAATGGGCGTGGACATGGACACTATATCCGTCCATCATGATAACCATGATGGACTTCATACCATTTCTACATATGTATAGTCAATATGGGTATCATATGAAAGGTCTTGGAACGAAGATGAACATAAATACCATCCGGGTCCTTCATGGTTATGGTAACATCACTTAACAATTGCAACATTCCATCGAAGTGATCTATATTTTACATTCTACCGAAAATGTGCGGAAAAGTTCGTTTGACATGGTAAAACATTTTATTTTTTTTAGGTCTTCATTTTTTTTGACACCCATTTATAAATTTGCAGACCCCCCCCCCCCCGGCAAAATCATCAAAAAAATGGGAGGGTTTTCTATGCCAAAAATGTGATTTTGTATCAATCTTTCAATTGATCGATAGTTTTATGGAGAAATGTCGATTTGAGACCAAATTTGTAGGAAAACCAGTGTTCAAGTAGTGTTGGCTTCGAACGTTCGTTCGACCGTTCGACAACATAAAAAAAAATTGTTTTGTTCGTTCGTTCGTTCGAAAGTTTTGTAAAAACTTATTTTGTTCGTTCGTTCGTTCGAAAAGTTGAAAATTATTTTTTTTGCTCGTTCGTTCGTTCGAAATTTATTTTAAAAAAATGTTGTTCGTTCGTTCGTTCGGAAATTGCAATGTTCGACCGTTGGGATTTTT